GTTTCTTCTTTTGAGGAATGAATGGAGTAAAGGCACTTTGTTTCGAAAGAAGCCGTGGCATTAGATTATGAGTTTATTAATCGAGAGTTAGTTCTCATTCAGACTTGTTCTTTCTCTTTTTTGTCATGAAGACTCCCAAAATGGATGTCTCTAATTTTATTGAATTTCTCGGGTGATTTAAAGATAGATGAAATTTCAGAGTAGAAGGAGGGAAGCATTTCTTATTATATGGTGAGTTTTATCGAAACATAATGTTGATTATTATTACTATTAATTAATTTACCAATTAAAGTATTAATGGTATGATCTTTGTTTCTTTAGTGATAAAATTAGTTATAAATGCCTACTAAGCAAAAAACTTTTCGAAAAAACATTCGGCATTTCTTCTTCTTTTTTATTATTTGTAATTATTTGTAAATTGAGTTGTGTTGATTGTACTATTTATGTTAGTTTTTTTTTATCAAAACATTAGATTGTAATAATACTTTCAAAACTAATAATAAACTATTTTACATAAAAACACTTTTTGAAGCTAATTATTCTCTTTTTTTCTGACGCAAAAAAAAATCAGTTGAATGACAAATTCCAACTTTTTGTACCAAAACAAAGTTCTTAATAATAATCGACTTATTTGTTGTTTTTATCTATGGTATTTATTATTATTTTTCTCATTAAAAACTAATATCAAAAACAATTACCAAAAAACAATAACTACAAAGGTTTTCTTTCTTATTATTTTCAACTTTCATTTTCAACTATATATAGTTTTTTATATTATTATTTAATTAAAATTTAATATTATTTATAAGTAGTTTTAATTTAACTAAATATTAGATACCTTGTTACAGTCAAAGTTTGTTTAGAAAGGATATAATTATTATTGGTTAGGATTTGTTTTTTCTAAAATGGGTATAATTTTTGATAAAATGGATACGATTTTTTTGAGAAATGATTTGATTATCCGAAAAGGGTATATTTCCCAATAAAATGGATTAAAATCAATTAAATGGGATCGGATTATTTATAAAAAGGATTTGTTTTCTTATAAAAGGACGCAATTCCTAATAATTGAGACGCTATTTCTTTAAAATGGATATATTTTCGATTAATGGGATTGAATTCTTAATAAAAAGTATCGAATTTTTTAAATTTGGACAGAATTTCTCAAAAAGGATGTATTTACTGAAAGATTGGGCAAGTTTACGTTGAAAAAGGATTGAATTCTTTATAAGTTATTGTGTTTTTACAGTCTTTTAAAACAATTCAAAAATTAGCTAAAATAACGTACTAAAAATTTAATAATTTATACTAAAGATTATAATATTATTTAACAAATTTCATAAAAAACTCAATGAAAAAATAAATATCTTCTGGGTTGAAAACTTTGGGCCATATTTCCTCTCTAACCTTTTCAAATGTTGCTTGTGCTTTTTCACTTTTTATCGATTTGAATCCTTCTGTTATTTTGTCGAGCAAATCTTGAACACTTCTCCAAATTTGATATTTTTTACTCTGTGTTTCCACAGCCCAAAGACATTATTTATTGGATTCAGTGCAGGTGAATACGCTGCATTGAAAACTACAACATTACCAGTTCCTTCGAGAACTCCTTGAATACAATTATGAATATCGCAGTTGTCGCACCAAAAAACACATCGACGCCCCTTTAGATCACATTCGTGTACAAGATATTTGAAATATGTTTTGAATGATTCGATTGTGTTAGTGCCAAAAGTCAAATTGCAATACGAAAAGCCATCACAGTCCAAAGCACATATCGACGTCAGCCTCACTCCTCCTTTTGCTTTGGTTACAAAACATTCTTTTCCTCGTGCTGCCCATCCATAAGCTGCTGTTGTACCAACTCTCTAACTCGTCTCATCGACACAGACCCATTTTGCTCCGCCGGATATATAACTACAAGTTGATTAACTGCTTCATTTTTTTGTTTTGTTATCTGTTGTGTTGGCCGATACTCCTCTATTTTTTACTCGTTTAAACGAAAATATCGGGACTTCTCGTTCCTCGTTTTTGGCTGTTTGTCCACTCATAAATTTGGCAATCGAAGATTTGGAAGGCGCGTAATTATCAAGCTCTTCATCTGAAATCATGGTATTGTCGATGTTTTCAAAATTTAGTATAATTTCTTCCTGTCCTCTTTGCATCCTAAGTTTTTCTTCCTGTGCAATCGTCTCGCGGATTTCATCGATTGTTATCGTGCTGTCTCTTATGATTGCATTTTCAACAAGATGTTGAAAAGGAAGTGTAAGACTTTTTCTATAATAATGGTTCTTGGGGTAAATAGATTTGCCAGCTCTTAGTTTTACTAACATATTTTCAACATATTTTTTCTTGATACCAACTTCTTCTGAATACTTTCCCGATAACCAAAAGTCTCCATGTTCTTTCCACATTTCGATAAGTTTGTCTCTAATTTGGTTCGTTATTCGTGTGTACACTCTCTTCTTGTAGGAAAGATTTGATGTGGATGATGTAGGAAGTGTCGCAGAAGTGTTTAATAATTGTGTCTTTTTCGGTCTTCCTCTTTTTCTTTTTGGTAAAGGAGGCAATTCCTGATAAGTAATTGGTACCTGTTGTACCGAGGTACCCTGTAAAGGTTCTGGAGCGTTTTGTGTGTAGGTTATACGAGATTCTGGATCACGAGTATCAACATAATCTAATCGACTCATTGTTCTGATTATTATGTTTAAAATGTTTATTTTTATATTTGATTTGTGAATAATGTTTCAAGAATTATTTTTTCATTGAGTTTTTTATGAAATTTGTTAAATAATATTATAATCTTTAGTATAAATTATTAAATTTTTAGTACGTTATTTTAGCTAATTTTTGAATTGTTTTAAAAGACTGTAAAAACACAATAACTTATAAAGAATTCAATCCTTTTTCAACGTAAACTTGCCCAATCTTTCAGTAAATACATCCTTTTTGAGAAATTCTTCCAAATAAAAA